TAACTAGCTTTTGAAGAATTAATGATACTTTCGTAACATTAAGAGTTTTGCAACATCGAAATACGACAGACCGATTGATAAGTGTTCCAAAAACAGGGGAAAAGAATGGATTTAAAGGAAAAGATAATCTCGGGGAGAATGAGAAAATTTGAATGGTGTCTCAATAATTGCTTTATGTGTCATAAATCACAATGTTCAGTTTCTTGGAAACCTTTCGATACCCAAAATATCCTGTTGAAGGGGCGAAACAGCAAAGTCATATGTAAACAAACCAGAAAATCGTTCTCAGCGATAGAGATTTTTCATCGTTAGGAACCAGAACTCAAAAACGGACATTTTAAAGTTATTTCAAAGCATCTTTGTTCGCTGGAGTTGCTTTTTCAACTTAATGGAGTTAACCTTATAATTTCAAATTACCGGTGAAAATCGTTTACTTAAAAGATAAAATTTTCAAACAATAAAAACAAGCGACATTAAGACAATTGAAGAACTTTCTCATGAAGTTTTTATCTCAAAGGGAGAGACATTTTATCTTGTTAACAACTGGCCAAATCTCCAAGTTAATTTTTTTACCATAAACTGTTTCCCTACAAAAGAGTGAAAATTGCCCTTTTGAGTCGGTATTTGTTTGCCATGGTGTTTAGATAGGAGAAACCAGGTGCGGAAATTCCACAACAGCCTGAATCAGGACCACTGAAAAGATATGTCGAGTCACTTTGAAAATAGCATATTGTTATGTTTTATGAATACCCATAAAATCGGCAGAGAATCATGGATGACGTAAAATGATAAATCGTCAATCCAAACTCAAAATTCCAGATAAAAATCCGATTTGCTAGAATTCACCACAGGGAAGAGGCAATGACGCTGTAGATGGTCAGGCGGGCTTCCTAAAAAGAATTCTCTCTGGAATACAAGAGAAATTTGAATGAATGGAACAGATACGAAAGCAAAACCACTGGGGAATGATAAGCTGGGGAAAACAGCCCCCTGAGATGAGTGGTGTTGTGATGGAATCCGACGTCAAAAAGCTGGCAGATAATGGGACAAAGCCAAACCTAAGTATTACCAGGCGGGGTTGTTTAACATCAAACAAAAGCAAAACAACGATTTTTTTAATGAGAGACGTGGTCATATCTTATTTGGTTTTTGGCGACGAAGATAAGAGAAGTAAAGGAATAGAAAATATCAGTGGGTAAAAGAGGACGTGCGGAGACAGGAAGGTTGTCGATATGAACGAATGTGGAAGGGTCCTTCTGCAATAGAACTATGTGAAAATGAATAGGGAATGCCGTGAACAAAAAAGTAGAAATTCAAGAACCTAAAGCCTGTCTCTTGACGATTAAGCACCTTGCGTTTAAAAGCATTTTGGTACAAAAACTGTTTTAATTTTAGAGACAAACCAAAAAATTCAATAAAACTTTATTTTTTTCTTTGAAAATAAGGGAATCTTGACTATTCTACCTTAAAAGAAACACAGTATTTTGAGACTTGGAGTCCCTCGAAACCCTTGAAAGAGCTATATTTGTATTTGTTTCTACCTAACATCCGAAGGTAGTTTTAGGACACTGAGAAGCTTATGCTTATCCAGCAGTGTTACCTAACATCCGAAGGTAGTTTTAGGACACTGAGAAGCTTATGCTTATCCAGCAGTGTCCTGGTCCGTCCTCTAGATATGACCACACCTCGTGATTCTTACGCCTGGAATTACAGAGAGCTGGCGACTCCCCTCATTCTGAGTGAAAGTTTGGTCATGCCAGAGACTCGAACCACGGACCCTTGTGTCTGTAGTCAGCGCTTTTAACAAATGAGCCATCCTCGCACTTTAAAAGTCTGCATAACGGACTTGAAGTTTCTGTGTTTGCCACACCAAAACCATCTCCAAACGAAATGAAAATAGCAGATACTTTAGGATTTAAAAGTAAGAACCTAATGCAATTAATTTTGAGCCTTTATGTCCCAACAATCATCTTCCAAATAAGAACTAACGACCGAGGGTTAAATCACTCTACGAAAATCTCGTACATTTTTGGCAAAACTCTGTTTGTTTTCGCGAAAAATCTACGAAAAATCCTTAAAAAATCTTAAAAATTCAAATTTGTACTGGGCGAATTAACTGTAATACGAAAAGAGCACGATCACACTACCCTTCAAATACAAAAAACCCCAATCGTCATTTTCTGCTGACAAGTTCCTTTCTTGTAGGAATGACCTGACAATGCTCGCCACCCAAATTTAAACAGGGATATTTAATCGCTCGTGGAAAAACTTCTTCACATACCGGCGTTTTGTCCTCGCGGAGAAATATGTGCAACAACGACGCGTAATCTCGAGCCCAGATGAAAATATTTGTGTGTTCATCTTAGTTTAAAAAGAGTTTTGTCAAACATTGGTAGATCGTTGGAATACAACAACAGGTTGCAAATATATTGGTTTTTATTCTTTTGTGAGCTATGTGTGAGAATGCCATGTATATATATTCAATCGTATTGGCGAAATAAGCATTCCAGAACTACATGTGCTAAGGGAAATAGCCCGGAGCAAAGGCATAGCCCGATGGTGAATAATCAACCAGTTGCCGTTATTATTAAAGTCGTAAGAATCTTAAATATTTGCTTGCCTGAATGGCGCTGCCGGCAATGCAACCGCTAAGTATTGCTAAACAAAATAATAAAACGTACTTAATTAAGCATCAGGGAAGGCAAGAAGCTTGGGAGCTAACGCTCTACATTGTCAGGGTCGGATTTCGATGTATATTGAGTCAAGACTGTTCTCGGTTGCAAAGGAATTTTTGCCAAATTTACCAGTAGTTACTGTCTTCTACTGAAGTCATAATATTACCTTTTGCAGTCTGAAATGTCATACTTTAAGACTAATGACATTTGAATCCAAATGAGAGATACGATTCCTTCTTACAAACTCTTTCGCTTACTAAGGAACTTGCAAGACCATACAAAGTAGCACCACGTAACGTCAGTATACATTTGTGATGAGAATATATTATTCTCGAGTCTCTGCTCATAATCTTCCACTATTAAACAAGGAGCTGGTCATACTATATTCGTCAATTACATTACCTAGGGGTGGAGTTAAGAGATGGTCTTTAGGCAACGGTTAAGTCTTGATCTCAAACAGAAGTGAGAGGTGAAGGGTGGCAATAAAGGATGATTTCTAGCTTTTCTCTAGTAAAAGGTTCTAGGAATCAGGAAGCTGTGTAGAAAAGGCTCGAAGAGAATGTATAGGTTTTAGGCAAAGTGCCGGAGGTTAATCTTTAGACGATGGAAATAGAATGGGGAAGTGCCGGGCACATGGGTTCGCCCCGTATGTGATTTGTAGAACAGTCTCGTATTTGGTACTGCATAAAACTATACATACTAGGGCTGTAGTGACGGCACTTAAAGAGGGAGAAAGAGGCAGTACATAATTTGATGATAGCCCGCGAAAATCCCCTGTTGGCTTGGAGAGATTACATCTTTACGGGGAGTTTTGCCTTTTATAAATGGGCATTTAACTGGATAACAAAAAATGGAGGAATGGAGGAGTGAGTGCGGGTTGCATGCCCCAGATGCGCTGAGACTTTGCAGCTGACAGTTATTGATGTATTGAACCAAATATTATTATCCTTTTTTGTTCCTAATTGGCTTAAACCAGCAATCAATGCCGCGCAATCATAGAAATATTCCAGTTAGTTTCACTGACGTATGGGGTACCGGGAAAAATTTGAGCTCAAAGTCTAGACAACAGAAATGGTAGGAAGAACGCTTAATTGGTTTATATCTGCATTCCAAAGAAATTTTCGAGCCAAGAAAGCAACACAACAAATTTCTTCTCTAAGATATAAGCTGTTTGTTTTCACGGAATAAACTGAATTCGATGAAATATGTTTCTAGAAGAACAATGCAGTGAGCTATGTATTGTTGGCCGGCCTTGTCTTCGGCCGTAAGAGCCTGGAATTTTATTAGAAATTTTACGAGGGTTTTCTAAAAGGCTTAATAAATAAATCCTTTCAAGACGTACAAGTATTAATACTGCTTCATGTAGTTCATTTTGTTCCGACTGATCAACTTGCGGTCAACGTTCTACTTCAGAATATCCAACCCTGAAAATTGCACCGGCCTTCTCTGCAATGGGGCGGAAACATTGCACGACAAAACAGAGTCATAATTCGACTGATAAAATTCTTGATTGTTATGAAAAAAATTAGTCAGGATTTCGAGAATTCTTTTTTTGTATCTTTTGAAAAAACTGGTACGATTAACTGGGCGCTGACCTTTCCGCTCGTGAGTAATAAAAATTGTGTGGAATATTCAAGGAATTTTCTTGTAACAGTCTTGTAACAGTAACCTATACTTTTTGTAGACTGCGCATACAAAATTGTTACTTTTGTAGAAATCCAAACCCCTATGTGAACCTAGCCAGCGCTTTCCCACGATTTTAACTCGTGTTTGCATACCAAAACAGAATGCTAGCGCCAAAAGTCATACTTAATGCAATAATTTGGATTAAAATGATATAAGCAATGATTCGAGGCTTGTTCTTGGCTGACGCACGATAATAAGTACAAAATATCAAAAGCAAACTATAGATTGTAAATATTTGGAAAGGATGATACACTTTTTAACTTGCCTGCAATCGTCTGTCTAGATTAAAGACGGTATTATATCCTTCCTCAAACAACCTCCTGAGCGATATCCAAAATGTTAGAAGAGAAAATGGAAGTTGGCAATACGATATGACACCTTCACTTTATAAAAAAGTTAAACATCGAGAAACGATTTGTCAAAAGTACCAGTAATAAATAGTGTAGTGACAAAACAGAGGGTGCCTGAGGTTGGCACTTGGGAACCAACTTACAGTGGAAAAAGCTGTTTTTGATAAGAAAAAGCAAGTTATCGTATATAGGTTAAACCGATTTTCTTATTGAGGGCTAGCAGCTCTTTTAAACCACTTTATAAGGTTAATCCCAGAAAATAAGATAGAGAATAAATAATTTTTCATACCACATGGCTGATTGTGACATGGTTCCATCAGTTGTTGGACATCTTCGATGTTGCATTCAATGGATTGTGCTTCTGTTCCGTTTGCCAGTTTTTGCAAGCAGTCAACTTGTCTGTATCGTATACCATCTCCACATGTTCTTGAGCACTGGTAAAAGATACAGATCATGAAAATCAAGAACGAATTAAACGCTCTTACAGCCATTCTTGCCTCTATAACAGTTCCGGGTCTTCTACCCCTTAGCAGTGCTTCTGTCAAATATAAGATCGCCAATCACAAAGGATGATGCAAATAGCTCCGAGGGGGTTGCTGAAACTGAGTTCGTAATGTTTTATAAGTATCTCAACACTTTATTGCCAGTCTATGCAAAGGCTTGTTGCTGCCACCCTCGATTAACGAGTTACTTCTGACTACGAACCAGACCAGTTCCTCTCCTTATATAAACTAAACGCGTCTGTATCGTGCCGGGTTTAACACGACTGCTTGAAGTGATCCGGATCCACTTTATCTTATCCGGTAGTGTTGAGGATGAACAAAATTCCTTAAAACCACAAAAAGCCTGCAACGATGACGGCTACGGCCACGCAAGGTAATCCACAACAAACATCTGATGAATATTATGGCAATTAAAAACAACCGTATTGGCTTTAAAGAGCAGTGAAATCGATTCTTTGTAAACAACTGGTCAGTAACTACAATCTAGCCATGTGATCGAGAAGCGGCAAAACGTGACTGGAATTGTACGATAACTTCTGTGTTTGAAGGCGCTCAAAGTATCGTATCAGAGCTAGCTATCTTCCCTATCTAATCCTAGGTGCACCTCAAACAGATAAAGGCGTGCTTTACTGCTGAGCCAAGTCAAAAAGGCTTCAAATCACATAACAATAGGAATGATTTTGAGTATTCGTGTGGAGATATGTCTGGATCTTGAGCTTATAAAAGCACGATAATAAGTGATTGTTGTTTTGGTTGCCCCAGCAAGCATGCTGGTCAATCAGTGCGCTGGCAAAGCAAACCCCAAGAGCTATTCTATTCTTAGAGAATGCTCTCTCTGTCCGAATAAGAATCGAGATATACTGGAAGAATACGAAAAATAAGAATACCGATTTGCCAAAGAAATAAGAACAACGTAAGAATATACTCGGCCTCCGAGGAAAAATTATTACACTCTTTTTTTAAATGAACCATCAAATTTAAGTTCAGGCTGAGTGGTCTTAATTTTTTCGAAAATCTGAGGCTGGATTGTGTCCAGGCCTCATTTGCCAATAAAGTGAGTGAGCCAACCTTCATTTGCCGACAGGTTTGAATATTCACCGAAAAAGCACCCATACATAGCTAAAAATCCGACTGTTCAAAAAAGCATTTTGCATAAGCTCAGCCTAGGCTTATTCTTAATTTGTTCTTAATTTTTGACCAATCTTGAGGCTCGTGTTTTTTTTAAATTTCTATTACGAAATGAAAAGAGTGTATAAAAAGAAGTGTTTTGACCCCATTCCCTCGTGTTAAAAAAGTAGGGTAGGTTTTCACAGCGAATCAACCGCTAATAAATTTTAATTGCAATAAAAACGTCATGCAAAATCTAAAATGTAAAAGTGTGGGCAAATCAATATTGAAAAAAGAACAACATTAAGAGGGCCAGAACAACAAAAAAAGAAAGCATAGTAATTGGTCTTCCACAATCTTTTTTTAAATAGAAGGAGGTAACTAACTAAGTTACTAAGAACAAAATCGGAAAGAATTAAGTGACGATTGTCTAAGGTGAACTCTGGAATGGAGTAGCAACTTTGAAGAGGGGCGCATGTCTGCTTAGAAGCAAGGTAAAGTAATGCCATCAGTAAATAAAAGTTCAATGTTTTATGAAAGTCCACGATCACCCTGACAGATCGCGGCTATTTTTGTATTCATACAGATGAAAGTTCTGCCCAAACACCTCCACCGAGCATGCCCCCCCCGGTATGATCTCCCCCCAGTAAGGTTGAAGAGTAGGAAAGAAAGAATATTGAGCTAGTTGGCAATATGAGTGTAAATAAAGAGGAACACAAAAAGCTCATAAAGCCAATATCAGAGCGAAGGGCAGATAGAACGTAACATGCAGTCAATATGAACATTTTTATGCTGTGTCCAGAGAGGTCTTTAGAGACGCAACTGTTTACATGAGATTCCTGTCGTCATTTGTGAAGCAATTTGCATTCTTCATTGCAAATAATGACTGCAGTTACATTAATTGTAATTAGCTATGAAAATTGCCCTCATAATAGGCATTTAAAAGTAGCAAACAGGCCGTATAGAGAGATTGGTTCAGCAATGCTCCCGGCTTAAGAGAATTTTACTGTTCTGTTGCGTATGGCTAAGCCTAGACAGAACGGCAATTACAGTTTCGAAAACCAGAGAAAGCAAGGGAATGTCAACATTCGAAATTACAATTTCAAAAAATCGTATGACTATCCGATTCATATGGAAATGAAAAACCACTAACAGCATTCATACGAACAGAACGCATTGTGTGCAAACCATACACATGATATAAAATTTAAGATTATTAAATGAATGTATGAATGGATGGCGACGATGACCAACTAAGTGTGCTATACACAAAGCATGGTCTGGTCGCGGGTAGGGTAGGGCATTCCCTTTGTGAGGAGGAACGAGCCCTCCCGTTAGAAAACGGATAGGCGTGTAGATTACGAATGTGGTCGATTGTCAAAGCAAAGAGGCAAAGTGTCAAAAGGATGAATAATTTGAAATGTTTCAAAATAACAGGCAAAGAATCAGTCTCTCTCACCGCCAGAATTGTGCGTTGAAAACCACATCGGTACTAAAATTGCCAATGAAAATTGGTCCATATTTTCCATTTTGGGTAGCACATTCTTTCGCTGAACAAGTCAGTTCCTCTTCAAGTCAGAAATATAATCTCTTGATTTTGCAAAGGGGTCATTGGAACCAGGGGCTAAAGGGGCACCTGCTTATAATGCTTGGAAAATTACCCTTTCACCAAGAACATTGTGACCATTGGTGGCGTATCTGACCTTCAAGAATATGGGGCGGAGGGTCATCAAGAGTAAAGTTTACCGACGAAGACATCGATGAAGAAAATGTAGATACCATTTATCCTACAGAAAGACGATTTTACCGACCAACTAAGGATTTTGTGGACCAACTGAAGATTAACCGACCAACTCATGATAAACTGGAGGCTGCCACACCCCCTACCTAGCTACGCCCCTAGTGAGCCTCCCTATCTGTAACCCCAACTTTGAAATGCTTCCAACGTCCCTGTTCTTGCGCAACCAGGAGAGTAAAAAGTGTACCTTCTCCTATGATACATAATCATTTTGTGGAAGACCCAGAAACAAAGTTATCCATTGTCTCTTTTGTGTTAAGATTTCATTACTGGTCTAACACAGCAAAAAACAGGCCAGACTGATTATTTGCTAAAATTGTTAGGAGATGCGATAGCCAGCAACAGAACTTAATTTAGCTAGGCAGAGAATAATGGAAGGGCGTTGCTTAAATGTAATAAGTTGATTAAAGAACGCCTTGAAGAACACATTTGGAAACAAGAGACAGAAGAAGTGGGTGGCAACAAAACTTGAACGATCTCAATTCTTCATGTTTTAATGAATGCAGTTTTGGCATCAAACTTTTTGAAGGAATGACAAAATTGTTTACAAACGAGAAGTTATACCATAGGTTTTGCAAACAGACGCACGGCGATCTTTAATGTGCAGATTCTGTAACACAAGTCACATCTAGTTTATAAACAAATGCGAACCTTCAAAGTGAATTAGTCTGCACATATGAGCTACTAAACCACTTGAGAACTTGCAGTAAACCAGCTTAGCTTCATGGTGAATTATACCAGATGTAAATCGCAATACGACTGAAATATGAAGACACTAGACTTCGAATCATACTATTTAGTTTAGACGATCGACGTTGAATCAAAAGATGACGAATGACAACAAGGTTGAGATCATCTCGTCCGTCTAATCCATTTTCAAATCATATCGACTAAAATCATTTCGTGGTTACCATAACGATTCATGTAACCAAGCTACATTTGTCCTACAGCATATATTAAAAAATTTGCTACAGAAATAATAAGTATGGGTTGTGGGATGCTAAAAGGTTTAAATAATAATGAAATTTCTGGAGATAGAATAGAAATGAGAACTACTGTTTACTGGTCTGTCATAAAGTGCTCAATGCCGTAAAGGCAGAGCTGTACACACTTCTTGTATAGAACAGGACGGTTCTAGGTTGCTATTTGATGCGAATATCAGGCAACTTTTCTAGATACAATGAAAGATTAAACTAAAATTATGATACCAATTTCCCTAAGGGTTACTGACAGGACAGGAATATGACAAACCTGTGAACCTATTTCGCCCCCCTATAGAATATCAAAAGTGACGTCATCAATTTGTTTAAATCTTAGAATTTTGACCCAATAACTTATAAGTACACGACGAAATGCCTCTAAATTTGCAAAATCAGTCGAGTCTGTCGCAAATCGACTGAAATGTGGGCTATTCCCACCCACCCCCCCCTCTCCATCAAACCACTGTAAATTTGCCCTTATTCTAAAGCATTTATGAAGCGGGCTCTGCATATCGCCTCAATGAGTTAGTCAAAAAGCTATACGTGATAAGGTATACTGTATTTCCTCTAATGAACGTCACCCTTTGATAAACGCCGCCCTCTATTGAACGCCTCATCCAAAATTTAGAGTTTGTGATAAACGCCGCGGCGCTTTTTAGAGGAAATACGGTACTCAAATACATACTTTTACACCTTATCAATAGTCAGATGGGAATAGTGGTACTACGGCACTGGCATGCTAAATCTAAAAGGAGGTAGACAAAATCAGAGCGAGGTGTATTGCAAGAAATGGGTTTCTATGTATTTGAATAGACGGCGCACTCAGTAACTTGCTGAAATCCGACGAGATAACACGACAATCTTACTTTAAATCCATTACAAAAATACAACAGCCACAGTTGATACCGATAAACGGTTTCTGTAAAAATCAAATTTGTGGACGAAGAAAACATAAGCAGTTAGGAGAGTCCTGAATACGTTTATGGTTTTATCCGTATTAAGGGATTGTCGCTATTGGCGACATTGTTTACTCTGATTGCATTAAGAGGCTAGGGTATGAGACTGAGGATGTACATATTCGGCTTAAATTAAGCACTCCAAAGACACATTTAGAACTCAAATATTGAATCACATTGGAGAGTTAACGGATGGAAAGGTAGTGTCTTAGCCTTATCAAAATAGACTGCAGACGTCTTTTGTCTGATTGAATGAAACAGGGGTTTATACATATATTAACTAAAGAAAACATTCTTCCCTGCATTTATAATATTAGCATAATCCATGGATTGATATTAACAGATGTATCGGCAGAGGGTAGAATTGCTAAAACGAGCAACTGGAGTTTGAGAAACTAAATGATGTAGGGTATAGATGAACTGCAAGGGTGGCTTTCTTGTTAATGACTAAATGACTAAGTGGCCCTGTTTCTTGCTATTGTGTTATAATAGACTGCTTATGAGACCCCTGGTCATTTCAAAGCACCTAACCTCTGAGAGAAAGCTGTTTTGATATATAAGGAATAAGTGAACGAATGACTTTATTAGGCATGGAAATGAGAAAGAGAGAGTCGGATCATATGACAACAAAAGGTTTGCCAAACTTTCAGAAGTTTACCTCTAGAATCGGACCATAAGTTACTTCTAGAGAAGTTGATACCATTGTCAAGACAATGGTGCGGGGATGGCTCAGTTGTTAGAGGCACAGAATAGATATTGATGTTAGAGGCGCTGACTACAGACCCAAGGGTCCGTGGTTCGAGTCTCTGGCATGACCAAACTTTCACCCAGAGTGGGGAGAGTCGCCAGCTCTCTGTAATTCAAGGCGTATGAATCACGAGGTGTGGTCACATCGAGAGGAAGGACCAGGGCACTGCTCGATAAGCATAGCTTCTCAGTGTCTTAAAAACTACCTTCGGGTGCTAGGTAGCAACAAATACAAATACAAATGGGCGTTCTAAATAGCAGTCTTTATGCATGTGTTGGCATAAAAAGCTTTTGATAAACCAAGGTGAGGCTTAATCTTCAATGATTTAATAATGCTTAGCCATTGATGATTGAACATGCACAACTGACATAAGAGGCATAAGGAGCGTAAAACTAGAACTCAGTGGGAATATGCATAAATACAACACTCGTTGTGAACGGTCCCCAGATTAAGGTGGTTCGTTTTAATAGAGGATAAATGGAATAAGGAGGATAATGGGAACAATGTTAGCATAGGCCAAAGCTTAATAAAGGTCATTAAGAAAATCAGTAAATAACTTGTTATCGGATATTGGATATAACCTAAGGGATTTAAGTCTGATATTGTCAATTGCAGGAGTGGCGATTTCATTTTATACCTCGCAGTACTTAATAAAGTAGATCCTATAAAGGGCAGACATCAAAGATCGCCCTGTCTGAGAAAAGCTGTATATGCAAATAATGCGAGCGTTGAAATGAAGTTCTGCCTGCGTACAGTGGGTATCAGAACGATATGAATTCAAGTACAGCAACAGAAATAGAAAAGCGTAGCAGAGGAGTGGAGGAGAGTTTTTTTGAAAGAAAAAGGAAAGAAATGTTACTGCCCCTCAGCTGAATCATATGGCTGAATTTACGCCTATGCGCTCCTCCGCATCTACGCTTCACCGTATCTCCGCTCCCCCAAATCTCTGAATTCATTTGGCTCTGGTGACCAGGGTAATGCTTGCGATTACATTCTATGAGCCTAAAAGCGCTTGCTGCAATGCTAGATTACCTGAAACTCCCCTGCCAACTATTTCATCCAGTTTTTTGAATCGCTGTTACCAAAAATCTGAATTGACAACAATTTTTAAGATAAAATGGTTTATTTAATTCAAAAGGTCATTGTCATTGTTTGGGTTAGCAAAGTCAAGGGTATCTCTTTAGAAACTGAAAGCCTTGGAAGGCACTCCTATATTGAGAGAACCAAGAAGGGTAGATTAAACTGATGTCTGTGCGTTGGTTTTTTCTCCCTAATCATGCACAAATGAGGTACAGGAGCAATGCTTGCTTTTCGATTTCTGGAAAATTTCGAAACAGGTGCATGTAGAGTCGTTATCCTCCTTCCCTTTGTGAGGATTTGAGGCTAGAGCGAGAGTTGTTGTTGTTGTGATTAGTGAGCGAGAGAGAAGATAGAGAGTTGAATAAGATATATTGGTTGGATAGGTAGCAGAAGAGGCAATAAAGTTAAATAGGGGGAAATTGAAAGAGTAGAGGAACTGCAATATTGTCAGTACTTGTTATCGTTCCTGCCTGTTTCGTTACATCTTCCTTGAAATGACCTTTCCCAGATTCTCTTTTTGGATCCGCCCCTGCTACAAACGTGTTGTTAAGGTCACTACAGAAAATGGCAAGTTTAAGCCGAGCAAATTCTTGCCAAGGCCTATTTCTTAAGTAACCTGTGTCGCTGGGGATATAGAAAGCGCGGAACATTTTTTAACTTTAGTTATAATTGGCCATATAAAAACACAGCGGAATATTACTTTATTTTGGTCGGCTACTGAAATTTCAAATTATGAAGGAATTCAACATATCTACGGGAAGCTCTTACAAGATTTCGTATTTTCAATTGCTGATTTGTGTGGTGAAATCCTTGATAGGCATACGAAATTGCACAAACAAACGTTGTTTAAGCAAATAGTTAAAGCACCCAAGATAAAAGAAATACACAACAAAGCAAGGATCAGAGCATGTTTAGAAATGAAACGACCGGTCGAATAAATATTCAGAGTTTAAGCCCGTGCGGTCGTTTCTACTTTTAGAAAAAACTGGCGACTAAAAGATTAAAGATCTTGAGACTTTTGTTCCTCTGAAACTAAACGAACTATGACAGCAAATGATTCCGAAAAATTTGACTTGCATACATGAAAACGAAAAACAAAATACAATGGATCAAAAATAAAGGAGGAGGCTCTCTGGGAACTTTAGCGAAGACCCGCGCATGGGTACATGCCTAACATACCAACTTTTAAATCGTTTGTTTTCAAGTGATCATTTGGTAGTAAATGTATTTCCAGGCTTCTAGAAGCAACTTGTGAATATAGCTTGTTTGGCAATCTCCCTAAATAAGAGACAGGCTTATAGACATCGAGAAATGGTGGTTGGTATTGCGTGCTCCAGGAAAAAGAACAGAGCCACATATAGCAGCAATGAACTTTATTTCAGGTTAACGATTACCCTCTCTAGCAAGCATAGACTATTTGCTTCTTCTCTGAATACTAATATTGCTAACTATAGTAGAGCTTTCTGGTTTTCAAAAAACTTTTACGCGCCAAATCTACTTGATAATATGGACTTAGTAATGATTGCAAAGGGATGATATGGTATAAATACTCATAATTACAAGCAGCTGATCAGAATGGCTCAACCCTTCAAGCTGAGCAACTGGTGTTATTCTAGTTGTCACTGTTGAAATAATATGGTCCTTGGATGCAAGGGTCTTCGGATATTGGGATTGCCTCAATATGACTGCAAGGTAGGCCTGGTTGAAATACATACACGATTGTGGAGTATGGAATAGTAAGGGTGAACGCTTCAAACAAGTCAAAAACGCCATTGACATTCACATCCGAAAGAAAGCAAAGAGGGAACCCTTTGCAGCCAGAGAGCAAAACACTCAAATTTTGGCTTAGAAGACGTCATTAATTCGAAATGACTGGCAACCAGCAGAAAAATCTAACCTTTTGTTGACACCTGGCCTACTATGAACAAATCGTGCAAGAGAAGGTAACCATTCCTAGTCAGCGGGTTCTCCTTAGTTTTTTTCCTCATAAACGGTTTTTAGCAAAACCCTCAAAGCAAGTCGTTATAAAATACACGCTTTTTTATAAGGAACCTACCCCAGGTCCTAGTTCCAAAAGTTCCTTATTCGTAGACCTCAAATCACCAAATAGTAGTATCAAAAGTTCCTTAATAGTTCCTTAATTTGTTTTGACTAAATAAGCCTTTACACTTAATAGAGAGAGGGGCGAGACAGCATATGCAGAAACTACTCAATGAAGCACTTGACACACGAATAGCAAACAATCTATGCGAGTATTGGCTGCAAATGAATGGAACCAGCTTTTTAGTTCTTGATGCTTCCAGTTATAAAAAGTTTTCAAATCGAAAAATTGCTTATGGATTTCGTTTTTAGTTTGCTTTGAATATTTCGGCCTTCTACATGTAGATTCCTTATAAAGTGGTTCCTTATAAAAAAGCCTATATTCGCGATAAATGTCAACTAAAAGTAGAAGCAAGACTATCCTGTAACATTCGGTGGCCGCAAACCCAACTTATCCCTACAAAGTAAAGCATATAAAGAACATTCGTTGAGGAATGTCAATGAGCTCAAATAATTAACTCTTCTAATTAAGCCAATTTGACCTTTCAGTGACGAATCTCGCAGAATATGAACTGATCCAGTGCCGAAAGCGGTCCATAATATTTAAATCTCCAACAATGATAATATGGGTACTCTGCCTAAGTAATTTAAATATTGGTGAATATAATACAAATATTACTTAGATCTATGTTAGATTGCTACAAGATATGAGCCATTTATGCTGCATTGCATTCGAATTCCGGGCAGATTTTCCACAGCCAAATCATAATCGCCTAATCTTCTTGCACATGAGAGCCATAATCGCTGTATTAGCACCACACAGATACATTATTCGATATTCAACGAGCAACCCATTCTCGACCCTCGTATTCTAAGAGATTCTATTTAATGAGCTTGGAGCTGAATTAAGCTGCCTTCTTCAAGACCTCGCATGATCCTAAGGAAATTGCATATGATAACTTTGTGAATACATTCATACATAACTGACCCTCAGTCTCTAAACATTTTTGGGAAGCTGCCCGGCTGTATGACCTGTAAACCAACTTAAAGTAGATGAGTTCAATTCTGGTAATCCGGAATAGTTGTTCATGCGGGACTAACAACAAACGACGGGTACCCTCTGATTCCTGCTATCAATTTACGGCCTATTTGGGCTGGGATTTCTTACTTAAACTGCTCGAGGTCTCTCACAAAAAACAACGAAGGAAAATTGCGGACCAAAATAAAGAGGGTTGGGGCGTAGCGAGCTCCTGAAGAATGAATGCAATATTACTTCTTGGTGACAGAGGTGGGTCAAAGATCAAATTGCTTCATTTCTAGGATAACTGTAACAGCTTGCATCTTTAAACGGACGATTTCATGGAAGAGTCAGGGCACATAAGGTTGGCATACGCCAAAATGAGAATTCTGGACTGTGTTTGTGTTAAGCAACCTGGGGACCTGTTAGCCATAACCAGAGGAGTTTCGCAACCTATAAAGCTGAGCGGTAGGGTAATGACCAATGTTAACATTGACATGAGGCAGGAGACTAAATACATCAAGAATTGTAATTTCCTCATTAATCCGTGATATGATATTAGATCTAGGGAGAAAATGCAATTTAATCCAAGAACATTGGGAACCAAAGGGCAAGCGAAAGCGCCTTATATCCTGGAATCTCTGAATTTTAATCCACGATTGACTGAATTTTAGCTCTGATGCCTACTAAAACCACTGGGTCATACAGAAAATACGAGCCATCAAATCTCGTTCGCATTTCAACACTAAAGGACGATGTCGATGTTGAGATTCGAAATTATAGAAATGGGTTTAAAGGCAATCTGTCTCGTTGTGGATTGGTTAACGAGAACAATAGCTGGAACAATAGCCTAAACACGATTCCAGGACTCCGCCATATTTTTTACAGTGCGATAAATTAAAGGGGGATTTGAAATAATAAAAAATCCTTTTGTCCTTATAATCAATCAACGTCGTGACAGATTGCCTCTAAATACCAAAGCAGTTTGGAAAACAAGTCTTTTTCTAGCATTCTATGCTTCGAAGTATCTGAGAGCGGAAAACTTCAATTTTTAGACCAATAACCCATCTTCCATTCCAATATAGAAGGTAAAGTACTTATTCTAAAAGTCAGACCATAACCCTGGTAGTTGAAAATAGGAGATTTAGAAAGGGTGATGAAATGGGCAAGGCTGGGTTTCGGCAACAGGGCATCAAGGTATCCTTTGTCACAGCAACTTTTCCTGCTTATATAGAAGTGTCCACTATGTTTCTAAAGCAAAGATTTTCAAACAGACTTACTATTTCTTACAGAGCTTATTCAATATATGTTCAATACTCAAATACCAATTATTATCATCTATCTATCAATGAACATAGAAGTTCTTTTTCCTTAAATATATAGGACATATGAATGCGAAAAGTAGGAAATAATGAAAAATAATAATCTTGAAATGAAACCACAAATATCATAAACTGGTTTCTCTTTTGATTGGCAAGAGTGACTAAATAGGACCACGGTGAAAAGAGATTTTAACATGTCTAGACACAGTCTGGAGAAACGAAGATGGTGGGGTGAATTTGTCTCCCCTTTTTCCCATTGCTTTGCACCAAAATAGATTGTATGTAAATAACTCGACCTCGTGGGAATAAAAAACAAAATTCATAGAATTCTAAAACCCAATAGAATTTTAAGCTTAAGGTCTAATTTGTTTCTATAAACAAAATATAACAAAAACAACAATAGAAATTCACAAGAAAGCAGAAGAAAACATCAAACACCTAATAATTTGCAAAAAGAGAAGCAAACTAAGATTTAAAAACAGAGAAGAATTGGCATGCAAAACAAATCTATAAGAATGTTTTCATTTTTAGAATTGTTTGCCTTTTAGAAGTTGCTAAACACGGACATCGAAAATAAAGGATTAAACTTTACAGGATGGATGTTTGTTATACACACAAAAATGGAAGCAAGGCTTTGTTATGGTAGAAATGAAAACAAGCTGAGAGTAAAGAGTTGGTTTTAACTTGGCTGCTAAACCAACCCTTCACTAGCTTTAACCTCTACCTCAAGCCCTTTAGGCATTTTGTAACTACAACACCTTTTTGGAATTTGAACTCCTCCAGGCAAAAAGAGCATTCTTAAAAATTATGATGATAGAAAATCTTGCTTTCATAATCATTGGATTGGAAACACGTAGCTAGAAAATTGTGCTACTGTTACAAGAGGGGGGGGGGGAGACGAGGGAAAATTCACCCATGCAAATAGCCAGATTTCCACGTAAACAAAAGGAATTCCAGGGTCTTTTGAATTAAAAATTGATATCTAAACTAAACATAAAAGGTGTATCAAAGGTGTACGAAATGCATGGGAGATGCAATTGACAATTGCAATGTACTAGTGTAGTGTACTAAGACATTGTGACAAGCATTTAAACGCTAATTTCTGCAATTTTTGCTGTATTTTCTTTTTACCGTATATCATCTTGATTTCTTTAACAATAGAAACACTTAACTAGGAAACAGGTAATCTAATTTCTCAGCAATTAATTTGCTACTTTTTAAATTCACCGTAAACAGACAAAGAACAGTAAAGGTCTTGAACGGGGTATGCCATTAACACATTATCAGGTACATACTTTGGTATATCGTGCAGGGAGATTTTGAATTGCAACTCTGAGTTTCACGATTAATGCGATCATTAGGTAACAGTCAATAACAATATATATAAAACCAACAGTTGCAGCTTATCGATTACTTTATACAGTGCATGAAAACCACAATGGTAATAGCAACAACCACTTAAAAGGGAACGCAACAACGTTTGAAAAAAATGATATGAAGAACAGAAATGTGCCTAGCAACATCTTTATTTGGTAACAATATTGAGTTAAGAGAGCTAGGGCAATATGAAAAGAAAAAGTCAATAGAGAGAAAGTAAAATTTCTATAAAAAGAAAGAAATTATTAATAAAACGATATATAATATACAGGATGTATAAGATAATCTCATGAAAGACTTGCAATGGATTTTCATGAGTCAGAGTATGACTTTAATTAAAAAGCTAATCAAATTAATAAAAATGAATGCAGTTGTTTCAATGAAAAGTAAAAAAATGATGTTTTATAGATTAGATATTCAAACAAATTCCTCGGCCATTTGAAGTACAATAATTCAGATTAGAAATTTAAACCAAAAGATTGAATTACTCTTAATACATTACTCATTGTATTGCAGGGGTTTGGCAAAACTATATGGCAGTAATGTAATTTAAAGGCGAATGAGGAAGGCTACTGGACCACACGTACACAAAATAGAACAGATCTAGTTATTTACCATAATAGAAAAGGTTGGTAGAATAACAGGCAGAGCAAGGCTGGCTGAAAGAGAACGATTCATTGCATTTTTGAAAGGGCATTAGCTTCGTAGGAGTTGTGTTGTTTTACGAAATCGGATTGTGGTGTGTATTTTACGATCACTGTTCAGGAAAGCTTTCTTTACAAAAACCAACAATGCCTGGACAACTGCCGTGCAAATCTCAGCCTAAACCGACTAAAAACAACATGAGGAAATCATTCACAGCATACGGACACCAGAAAAATAAAAAACTTGGGAGAAAGATAATGAATCCGCACGTGCAGTTCTAGTAAAAGCTGGGAGTAGTGGATTTGTGCGGAAGTAGCTAACTGCGTAAAAAGGTTGTATTGAACCACGCCCTAATGAAAAACAATCTATTACTTTAATTGAAAATTAATAAACCAAAGACAAACATGATTCATAGAAAAACACTACGTTTTATTATCGATTCAGAGAGATCATTGAGAAAATCAACTGTGTTTTTATCTATTCTGGTGTCGTCCTATTTTGGTACAGGTCCTTTGCTTCAGTGTCTCCTTCCTAGGGGTCTTCAGAAGGACAGAAAAAAACAAACAAGGGAATATTTTGAGTTGTGATCTAAAAGTTTGGGATGGAAGTGGGCGCTGTGAAGAAGGGAAATCGTTATTTTTAGCTTAGCATGTAATTCTGTTGAGAGGAATGAGGATAAATATAAAAAGGATAGCAAAAGCATAACGACAGAAAATGCCGCGTGGATGACCATTAAGAAAAAGAGGTTAATGTCATTAAAATATATGCATTGAATCAGGTCATAATCATAATCATAATGAAGAAAGACATCCCTATCCATAGTACGAAGTTGTGAAGTAGCTAACAAGAAAGAAAAATATGTTTGCTAATGACGTCACAACCAACACAACAGATTAGAATACTCAATGTAGTTTCTGGCTGTATTTGATGCAGTGACAAAGATTTCTAGAAAGATAACCAGAAAGCAGGAGTGAAAACATACACACAAAATAGGTATTGATAAGTATAACAGAGAAAGAGGTATTGAAAGGAAATCCAAGAGTCACAGCACTACGATGCTAAGATTGTCAAGGGATTCAAAATGCAAGCACAATGCACAAAGGAATTACATCGACAAGGGAAATCATTCTTGCTCCGTACTGGCTCATAAATAAGATCAAGATCAGAAGTGACAACAAATACCACGTGATAACCACGTGTAATAACGTGTAATAACCACGTGATTACATAACAGAAATAACACAGGTTTGTTAGAAGATTTCAAAACTAAGGATTGTGAGAATGCAGTCTAGGATCAGATTCATAGTTCAAGTAACATGGCGATTTACATCGTCTAGGACATTTGCACCCGAAATGAAAGATAATCTGTAGAAGGAATCTAGAAAATTCAATTTTACTTCAATGTTGCCTGGAAAACACGTCAACAGCTACTGGTTTGCGATTAAAATATTGGATTATTTATAATCTTGTTCAACTAGGCTCCTCTTAATGTCTAAAAAATAGAAACAAGTCGAAACATCGTGTTTTTATCCCAATAGCGTCACCGATTATGCCAAAATTCATCGTGTGTATGGTTGAAGAATGTAAACTGAAAAACTGGAAAGGAAATATGTTGGTAGGATAAAAGACCAAATATCATATAAGATTGATAGCAGATATAATGAGTTTAATTTAAGAGCACACTTTTCTACCGCTAAATGACATCGCTTGTACACTCGGATCGTTTTCTCCTATGACAGAAACTACTTAAACAATAACTGTCTATAAGAAACACAATTAAATGATTAGGTGTCTTAGACGAAGTATGCAGTAATTTATTTGATCACGTATTTTTCAAGTTTAAAAATCATTTGTTAAGTACCACCACTTGATTTAAACGGTGAATTCTTAGAGTTGTTGAAGGATGGAGCATGGTGGGGTGTGGTTGCTCCCGTTCAGATTGACGTAATCAAATAGGGTATTAGGGACGTATAAAGCAACAAAAATGCATATAATACACGTTTGGGGCTTCAAAGACGCAGGCTACGATGAAATGAAAATATCAATCATGGTTGAAATTCTGATATAAAACTTTGGATGAAATGAAGCCGTTTCTTTGTAAAATTCACCCCCAGAGCATAAGGCAAATGGTCCTAAACAGTCGCCATTATAAGCAGCGGATCTGTTTTTACGGGCTTTTCAAAAGAATTACAAATATGTGACCATTTTCCCATTCCAAGTAATTTTTTTGCTTTAAATGATAGGTTGCCAATAAAAACGGCTCTAATTTATCTGTTTAAAAATAAACCGTAAAAGGGCTTTAAGAACGAAAGCGTTGCTATGGATCCGAAACTATTTAATCGGCTAAGCAGGGCAAAGAACACCCATTTTACCTTCTTTAAATTTTCATCGATTTTCCACAATTTTAAGCCTCTTAGCGCCGTTCTTTCCACATACAATGTTTCAACTGATGACGTAACTGTTGCTATCGGATACAAGATGTTTAAAAAAAACAAAAAATCTCTTTAGAAGCTCATTTCAATTTATCAAGGGATAATAGGACAGATTTTCATGATAGTTTACGCTGGAGGAGTATCTTAGGTTGAACAGAGTTTTTGATTTTGAATACAAGGCCCGAATTTAAGAGGCTTTGATGCTTGCATTTACTATTTTGAAAACTTGGTCTACGTCAAAAAATCTACAAAAATCAACAATTTTATTCCAAAAAGATCAAAAGGTCTTCCCGATTCTCAAGAGAACACATTTCGGCAAGTCTTAGCATTCCATTGGCACGCTGGAAAGTCTGGGAAAAAAGTTCACAAAGGGAAAACACGATTCGAAATCTATAGAGAATTGGTTCTTTAGAAATATTTTGGAGAACAAACACTCTCCTGGGAATTTGTTTCGGACAAAAGGGAATTTAGATAAAAATGTAGGCACCGCAATGCGACAAGAATGAACAAACATTAATACATATAAATTAGTGAAGACTAATATTTCACCCCGGTATACGGGGCTTCATCAGAGAAAAAAAAGGGAAGCATCCAAAGTTGTGCCATTGCAAAATTATTTTGGCATCAAAGGTATGCCTGAACATGGAAAGGAGAAGTAAAGAGATTGATTAGAAAAGCAAGAAGAACCCTTCTAAAATTAGCTTTAATGTGTTGAGTTAAACATGTATTAGCTATAGGAGACCGTAGGAAAACAGAATTTAGGGAAAGAGGTTCAAAGAGCTAGCTTCTCAAAATCATGTAACAATAAATTTGGTTACATTTATAAACGAAAGTGTTTGCTATAAATTGAGCCATTACATGCTAAAAATCACTGAAGAACATTTCACAAAGTCCATAGTTTAAAACGATTTCGTGTTTAAGATCTTAGAAGGAAGATTGTATCAGTGGAGAGGTGGGAGATGGGAAAACGGTTTCATTGGCAACCTAGTCACCGATTAAACTATCTGAGGATTAAAGTTGAGAGCCAGACACGCCTTGCTACGTTTGAGGGGTGTTCAGAAGTAGCATTAACCAAATGTCCACCTATTTCTTTCTGCACTGTTGTGTTAACCACTCCTTGAGAGTATTACTTAAATTAGACCACCTTCGCTTTGCCCAAGATTGCAGAAAAGGAAGAACACGACCCAGCAGTTTGAATGGAAAAACAGCAACCCTTGAAAACAGGTTGCAAAGAGTACAGAAGTGAGAAGAATTTAACTCATACCATACGAATACCGCATCGTCTGTCACCAAGGCATCGAGGCATATGCATTGCAACACCTCATTCTTGTGGGAATACCTAGCTGATCGGTATTAGTGTTTTGAGGCAAACCTTAGAGATTCCTAACTGAAAGGGATTATCATCAAAGGTTCTACAATTTTTGCACAATGTACCGATGACGCCCTCTGAGAACCTAATATCTTTTAGGCTGCATTCTTGCAAGGAAGAGGTTGGTGTCAGTATGCCAGTTCTCATGAAGGACGCTGTTTGAAGATGCATTCAATGAACGTGATGAATATCAAGTCAATGAGTGCTATTGGCCAATTGTTGGTTGATCGATGACTTAAGGTCTAGTTAACTAAATCTTTTTTCAAAATAACTAGGCACTGATGTCCTACCTTAGACCAACCAAGATGGACTATAGTTGGGGCACAATCAATCTGGTTACATGCTCTCTCTTTTGGCTTAGCAACATAGCTGCATGGCTCATCATTTCCATCAATAGCCTTGTTTGGAATAACATCTTTACTACGGAAACTTCTGCATTCAAGAATGGGTTTTTGGGTCCCTCCTCCGCATGTTGCAGTACAGTTTGTCCAGCCTTTTTGGTGCCATCTGTAATGAAAGTGCACAGATTCTTGAGAAAAACAGAAATGCTTTTATACAAAATTAGCTATGAATTTATTCACGAATAACATTGATTTTCAACTTGAAAAAAAGCATGTTTCTGCAATTTTTTCTTGACAGTATGTTTACTTGCAGTATATTAGTTTAGAAGCGAATGCTTTTTATGGTCATATGATAATCCTTATAAACATGAGATAGTTGTATTTTATGATTAAATATTTAATTATAACTTTATATTCCAAACAATAAGACTAAAAGGTATATCAAAATGATAGAAAACGGTTTAAAAAGTAGAAAGTGATAAAATTTTTCTACATAAGCAGAAAAGATAAAAATATTCTTTGCATTAAAACAGATTCATCAAATTCATTCAACAACAGAACAATTCATTTTATCACAACGCTTACCGATGACTTACTGAAAAAATATATAAAAGATTGTAGAGAGAAGGTATTTCGTTGCAAAAATCTTATTTGTCATTCATTGCTCACACAAGTAGGCGACAAGTAAGTGCTCAAAGCTACTACTTGCGAGCTTCAGCTGGATCTTTAAGCACGTTGCCTCTTGTCCTCTTACGGCAACGAATGGGAGGTTGAATAGAGCGTGAAAAGCACAAAACAGCCTCGTTTAACCATATTTTTGGCTGACGGCAAGTTTCCTTTTAGCAGTGGCTACCTACACGTGCGAGCAATGACTAAGATCTATGGTTTCCGTGATTACTTTTACAAGTCGTTTGTCAACTTAGACATTTAGAGTAATAACATTCTATATGAATGATTACACTGTCAAAAACCTACTTTTGAATGTGTGTATAAAACAATTTAGTGGAAATTTAAATATAAATTGAATTTCAATTTTATCCAATATAGTGTAATTTGATATAGAAAAAACGTTCTCCGATGCTAGATAATTTTGTTGCAAATGCGTTAGCTTAACAAAACGCTTAAATGGATTAATCGGTTTTTCTCAGTAACCCATCAAATTCGGTGCCAAAATAATACGATAAAAATGGAAGCCGAAAAGTCACAGAGAAGTTTTTTTATTACATTACTGATGTTAAATTTCATCAGATATCCAAAGAGAGATTTTGGTTGATAAAATATCATTGCCAAAACGATTAAGTGAACGTGTGAAAAAATTTAATTGGCTTTGAGGCTAGGCTTTTAGGTCAATAATTTAGGCCGTGGATTAGAAAAGGTTTTCTCCTAAGAACAAATTTAGCAGGTTATTCATAATATAATTCAATTGAATCTCGCAAAGACACTTTACACAAAATTTATCATGCAATGTCAAAGACTGTTCAACTATTTAAATACAGTAAAAACCCGCATAAAAGAACCTAGGTTTTTTTCTGGCAGCCTGAATAGGTTCTTGATTAACTGGCTGCTATTCTAAATTCCTAGTCTAAATTTCTTAACAAGGTTCTTATATACGCACAGGCCTTGCACATATTCACAATGTTTTCCACCGCAAGAATTCTAGCGGACACACTTAAACCAGCTTTCTTTTTCGTGTTAAATTTCACCCAATCAAATGTCTTTGTGTTGTTAGATTGTCCAATTAGAATTCAACATAGCATAACCTGATTTATTCTAAGCTGGTTTATTTTGCCAGTGTGTATAGAGTGTAAAAATACCACTCTAAAGGCCCTTTTTTCTTTTATATATATATAAGAAACTTTCCAAAATTCAGCCTCTTTGGAGTTCTTAATTATGGCTTTTAAAAGATTAAATTTCAGCCTAAAGGTTCTTATAAAAACAGGTTCTTTTATGGGGGTTTCTACTGTACAAATTATAGAAATTGTTAAAGTTATTCTGAGATAAGTGTTAATAGATGATTTTTGCATCATAGTAAGTCCTTGACAGAGGCATAAATGCAGCTACTCTATGGGTTAGACATTTAAAATATTCTTTTAAAAAGTTCACGTATAATTTTGCACGATATAGGGAAAAGATTGGCCCCTTCAAGAAACAGAAAAATTTAATATATTGAGACCTAGCCAAACGATCCTCTTGAAGAAGTGACCAAACAATCCTGGATGACGTTTTTGAGAAAAAAAGAACAAAAAATGCCAAAAACTGGCTTCACCTAAACGACATTAGGTTGCTCCATCATTAAAGCATTTTTTAAAATGTTTAGGAGAAAGAAGCGTCAGCAAAATGTGGAAATATACCCAATTTCGTAAGAATTGAGAAAGATGAGCACTCTTTCATCGCAGCTATCGTCTCCTGTTGAAAAGGTTCAAAACTCACCCGAATAAATCATTTTTAATTCGGTTAAGTTTTCAAACATTGTGGAGGAAAAATTGTCTCGCTTGTTTACTTGCTGACAGAGAAATTGACGCCTTAAATTATTGATATTTCTTCTCTCTATCCAAGATTCTAGCATCATCCAGCAACAGGTTAAAACAAATAGGATAATAGACTAATGTAAGGCTATTTAGGCCTATGAGAAAATTGGCATATGTTTCCAACATCAATGCAATATTTGCTTTGAAAACCCAACAGTTGGACGAACGTTAGACGAAATACTCCCGGGCTTTAAGTGACGAGTGTGGAGAAGCTGTGTAGATAAGCTGGGCACAACTGACAAATATATAGACTTAAGTTTTAAGCAAACATTTGGAAAAGTAGTTATTTTCAAAAAGATTATATTCAAAATTTAATATAGAGGTTTACAAGGGGTCTCAGAAAATTAGAAAAGTGGGATTCAGCCTAATATTGATAAAACATATTAAGTTATCTAGTGTAGCCCACATTTCTTTAGGCATGTTTTTGATTTGGAAAATAATTCATTATGTAACCATTAAGTCATATTCATCTGTACAAACTCTAATGAAAATCTTACTTTTATAAAAATATTTTAATAAATTTATTACGTTCGGCAAATATATTACATTATTTAATCCGAAAGCAAAGAAGCTCTAATTTAGAGGTTCTTATAACTTAAAGTAAGCACATATTAACGACATATTGAACAAAGGAAAAAAGACTGGAGATTCAGAAGTATTTTAACTATGCAAGGTAAAGCAGCAACGAAGGAGCTCGCTCACAATATTGAGACATCGTTATTGAGGGTCTCTATTTTGGAAAATAGCCCCAAATAAAGCAACAGAAGAATCTATTTCAAACTAAATATACACAGCAGAGCTGAGAATATGTATGATCAAGAGCTGACATTTTCTCGTATTAACAGAACAGTGTTTTTCATTAAAACAAGAAACTTTAGATAGCGAATGGGTACTTAAAAATTAGAAGACGATATGGCATTAGAAGATGAAGAAATGGGCCTAATATCTTCATAAAGCTGTGAAGTGAGCATACAACGTAACCTTATGTTACAAAAAGAGGAGATTTTTGGAATCCTAAGCAGGAATCTGGGCGATCAACAAAATTTATCCTCTCCCCATTTGATTTAATATTACCAAATTTATCCTACCAACATATTTCCTGTTAAATTTTACAGATTTCGTTTTTTAACCATACACATAATTAATTTTGACGTGATCTGTAACGCTACTGCATTCAGAGAATCCTTTTGGGGTAAAAACACGATGTTTCGACTTTTTTCTATTTTTTAAACATTTAGAAGAGCCTATTTGAACAAGATTATACTTAATCCAATTTTTTTGCATAAACACACTTTTTATCATACTATGAGTATCTCAGACAGCAGAATACTTGCCTAGAAACATTTCAGAAAACTTTAGATGGCACTAACATAACTTGGCATCATACCTTGCTAAACAAAACTGCTCGTTCTGACAACTGGTAAGTTGTATCTCAGCTTTTCTGCTGTTCAGACATTTCTCTGCATCATGGAGTGTACCAGATTTCTCATCAACACAGCCAATAATTCTCTTTTCGGAACCTGTCAATAAAATGCATTAAATTATAGGCCAATATTTGAAAAATACATCAATATCAACTTTATTCCAATGTTACTGAGAATGTTCCTGGCTCTTCAAATTTTCCTGATTTTGTTAAATAAGTATACTTTTATAATTTATGCACAAATTATAATTAAGTTATAGCAATTTATGCACAAGTTACAATTAAGTTCAGTTATAATTTTATGCACAAGTAAAAAAACCACCCAAAGGCCTTTGAAGCAGCGCTCAGTTTTTACTGAGTAACCATTCACGAAGTTTACATCTTTCTCATGAACCAAAAAATATTTCCCAGTCTCACAATGGACGATTTATGGAAATATGGGTATGCTGCATATATGCATTTTGTCAGATTCTCAAATTCTTGCATTGGATTATTTGTCAAAAACGATGGTTAAAAACAATCTAAACAAACAAAGGACAAAACCATTGCAACAAAAACAACATGAAAAACTTGGTTACAGTTTATGATGTGACAAGTCATTCAAGAATAAAACATTACTAATTCGATTCTTATCAGCAGCAATGATCTTTAAAAATACGAGTCATTTCTACCAAAATGATTTTATATCTCTGAAAAGCTAAGCTGTTTACTTGCTGTTGGCTGTTTTCCAACCTAACACTTAATGATTTGCCAAAAGAATGGTATAAATGTCAGAAAAAAAACTTCCAAAACAAATGGTGAACAGGTTAAAAAAAATTGACATAAGGCAGAACAAAAAAAATAAAACAAGAAAACATATTCAAAGGGCTTCTTCTATTCTTCAATTGGTAATAAATTGCAGACAACTAAATGTAAAACTTTTATAAGTGTATCATTGGCTAATAGGTTTATCATTAGATTTCTAGAGAAATCAGCTTAAAACATTGGAAATGGCTTGAATGTTGTAGAAAACTTAACCTAAGCTACATTTGCTCAAAATAAAGTTTCAAATTTCAAGGCATTTAAAAATTTGATACCAGCAATTCAAGAGAGATAGAATTCTATCAAAAAATCGAAATTATAAAACTATTTGATTATTTCTGATTGACAAAGAATTTATAATCTAGAATTATCATGGTCTTTTGCCAAGCAACAATTGGTTTTTTCATTCAATTAGTGTGACCTAAACATTCTGAAGTGACAGCCATGTTATCAAAGAGCTGAAACTGATGACCTAGCTGGATATGAATTGTAAACAAGAACAAATTGATCTTATCTTTCTTTTGCTTATCTTGTTAAAAAGGAATAAGAAGCTACCTTTGCAAGATGCAAACCAAAATGAAAAAGAAAGTGCCCAATCAAAAAGAGTACATCTCAAATTGGATAGATCTTTTGATCAGGGACTAGATATTCATGATAAAGGATAAAAAGCCCACACATTTAGTGTCATGTCAACAGACATTTGTATAATTCTATGACATTATAAGAACAAAAGACAGTGATGATCTCCCTGAAGTTGGTCTAAATTCACCTGACGAATAAGGAATTACCACAAATAGGAAGGGTTTTTGAGATATTTGCTTATTAACAAACAGGCCTTTTGTTTAGTCAAACCCACCTTATTTGTGTATCCTTTCTGAGATAAGAAAACTGCTATCTTATTTGATTACATAAAAATCTTATTTAAGCATGGAGAAATTAACTTTTTAATTATGCTTCTATATAAGAAGGTAAAAATAATATATTTAATATATAAATAACTGAAATTTCAATAGCTTTAAAAAAATATAATCTCTTAAATAAAATCCTATCTGAGGGTAGGGCTAATAAAAGTTTGAGAGCGATTTTGTTGCAGGAATAAAATTTAACTTACAATATTGTTCTAGCACAAAGCAGATTTTTTCTCTAAATTGTCAGATGACATATAGATGATAGGATACAAGGGCACTATTCAGAATGAACAACAACTGGCTTAACAGTTCTTCTAGATCAAAAACAAATTAAAGACATTTGCTGATGTTAGAAATATTTTTTCTGCCTCCAAAAAAAGGCAAAGCCAAAAATTATTTCGGAGGGAACAAAAATGATTTTTATTGACAAAAAGGGTATTTCCACTTCTTAAAGCTGTGGTCATGAAATATAGAATCTTACATGCTGCCTTTATGTATTTTTATTCCAAAACTCACACTTTAGTGCCATATTTTGAGAGTTCAACTACTACAGAAATATTAGTATATTACATTGTTGAAAAAGGTTACAGGGTGAGAAATTGTTTTGGAATCAACAGACAATATATGTGATGATGGACAAAGCATTTGTTGGGACAAAGTACCTTTGGTGATGCCCCTGAAAGTGATAAGACCTGTCAATAAGTAATAAGACCTGTCAACTCTCTTAATTTCACCAAAAGCCACCAGGTTTTGCTTTCTTTCTCCCAGTCTCCCAGTTTGTTAAACTTTCCTCCTGTTTATCTCTTATCTTTTAGCAGAGGCATTCTCATACACATTTTTTTAATAACACACAATACCTCATTATTTGCTGAGCGTCAGTTTTCTTAATTTTTTGTATTATTCTTAATTTACACAAGGCAAAAACAACATAGAATTGTAGTACTAGTGACTCCAAGGCCAGATATGTCTTCTTCAAAACATAAAGATTCTTATCATAATTTTGTCACAAACTGTTGGCCCAGCACAACGTTTTACAGGAATTGGGCTAAAACAATTCACAAAATTCTGGTGATCTTCCTGTCTTGGCCTAACATTGTTTTTCCTCACAAAAAGTGGAAAATCTCTTACGTTGACAGGCCTGATCTGAAGATTCCAAACCAATATGTTTATCATCATGATATATAAATTACAATGCGATTGTCCTATTTAATCTTTTTCTATATTCTTATTTACAAAAATGCTTATTTACAAAAATGCTTATTTACAAAAATGCTTATTTACAAAAATTAATATTATTTACATGGAATCGTACATAACAATAATTCCTCTCACCTGAGTTGCATGTGCACTGTAGGTAATTTTCCTCATCGCCTTTGGAATCCTGTAATAACAAAATACAAAACTAAGTTATTTATTTTCATCTTCTTAACTCCTAGCTGCTACCTTAAGAGCACATCATAGGCCGAATTTTAAATCAAATATCATCAAATATGCATCCTGGCTTCTTTCCTTCCCTCCGCCATTGCCGCTGAAAAAAGGAGGCAGCCTCTTTCCAGCCTGCGATTCCTGACATCAGCATCGGTCAGCAAATTCTCGAATGATTTCCTAGAGGGGTTTATGGTTTTGGATTGGGGCTCATTAAAAGGCTTAAAGGCAGGGGATATTAACATATAAACTAGTGGGTAATTTCCCCACCAGGCACTTAAATTTCCCTACTAGTTGGCCCATGATTCCCCACTAGCAGATGTCCTTGTGTTGAAAATTGTTTTAAAAACCAGTTTGACATGTCTCTAATTCCTGCTTATCATGTCGTTGTCGTTTTATATTTGTGTCAAATTATGTTCAACATCTTTCGTCTCATCGTAAATGTAGATCTCTGACTCTGTTTGATTTTCCTGCATTAAACCAAAGCGAAGCAATAAAATTTGCAGGAAAATTCTACGACAAATGCTTTGACAGTTTTGCTTGCGTCCTTCAAACCTGCCAAGACCTGAACGCTCATTTTTCATCTGGCCTATATGTAACTTTTCGCTGCACGGGAGTAAGAACTGATGTGCAAGACTCTGAAACCTTACATACTATGCATAAAAAAGAGAATACGGCACAAAGCAATACGACGACAAGAGCCAAATGAAATAAGCTAGATAGAATTTTGAAATGAATTGAATTTAACGAGTACTAATATTTCGCCCCGTCATAAAGGGCTTCATCAGAGTAGAAAAGCATACTCGTCTATTTGCTTTTTGTTTTGCCGTCAGTTGCGTCACGTTAAGAAAAATGCCCTTTAATGACAATTCCCTACCAGTGAAAATTTCTTAAAAGATCCAAGCACAAATAAGAGCTTGAAAAATTCCATACAAAATTTTATAAGTTTGCCTTACAAGGAGCTTGCTTTTAAAGCTTTTTCACATCTTTCGATAGAAAGTATTCTGCAAAACGATTTTGACAACAAAAACGTTACGAATATGCCTCGCATGTTTAAATTTCCGATTTTTAGTTGAATATGCCATTTATCAAGGGTTAAAATCGTATTCCAAATTTGGGGCTCATTAACAATCTCTACTTCGTGCATGTGGCTAATTCGAAGGGAAGGGACAGGTTCAGAGATTCACGATACCTTGAAAAGCGAGACAGAATCAACTCTGATTGTAGCCATTTTGCACTGCTAGTTAAAGTTGCAATGTATCACCAACACTAACAATCATATGTTGGTTAGCCCCACTTATAATCATATTTTACTAACAGTCACAACTTTTGTAGAATTCTTGAAACGGCTTAGAAAAAGCAAACATTTTACAACAAACTGGTGCTTTTTCTCTCACACTCCGCAGAGCATGAGCGTCAGAATACTAAAATGTGTAACTATGACAACCAGAATCATCTAGCGTTGAGTTAACCCTAGGCTTAGTTGGATGCAGACACAATTCATGCATGACCCAGTAATCTAACAAGCAGTATACTTTGCAAATACGGGCCTAATATGAATCAACTCAACTGCGTCATATCACCTTAAAGCAATATGGCAAGAGTATCATTTTCTATGATAACTATTTCAGTGATGAAAACTTGTGGTCTTTAAAATGATCCATATCGTTTTAATTGTATAATCCTCGTCACGTAATAATTGCCTGAAAGGCATGTTTCTAGAACCATACTTGAAGGATTCCGTGTATAATCTTCGTCACGAAATAACTGCCTGAAAGGCATGTTTCTAGAACCATACTTGAAGGTTTTCGTGCAATCAAGTGCAATCAAGCCATTTCCGTACAACCAGACAGGGCCGCCAAGTGAGGAAAGGAAGAGAGGGAAAGTTGCCCTAGGGCTAGATCTAGAGGGCCTCATAAAGTAATGAATTCCATCTTCAAATTGGATTTAATCAAGTATAATAAAAGTATATCTGAAAATCATAAAATGTTTTAAACGTTTGCAAGAAAAGGACTGAATGAAATATTCGAAGGTTGCCAAGTCTCATGGTTTGGCCTTGAGGCTCACGGATATTCGTCTCTTCTCGCAGTCTTACGACGGGAGTTACTTTTCTCACAGATTCCTTCCTGGGCCTCATTCTTCTTTCAATTCAGATCAAAAGCCTCAGTGGCTGCTGAACACATTCCATTCCACTGCATTGTTTATGACAATCACGTGCCCAGACCTGTTGCGCGAATGATTATCAAATTGGTTAATGTATCAGTATCAGTATATTGTTCATTGCTTCGATTGCATATTCTTACGTTTAAAAGCCACTTGTGTTGTTCTGAAATGTTTTAATTGTGAAATAAACAAATGCTTAGGCATTCTGAATGGTCCTGTTTTAATCCATTTGAGCACTCCAGATCCACTGAAATTCGGAATTCTTCTGCCCCCAACCCTGGACCCCAGTTCCATTACTCACTAGCTGCGCTCATGAAATCTCACAGGTATCATTTTCGAAAACTTGGCAACCTTGTATTCTGGAATGTACTTTTAAACAAAATAAAGAGCTTGATAGCAAAACGTTACTGCTATCTTTGCTCTGAAGCAGTGGTGGCGCCAGGGGAGGGCTAGGGGGGCTACAGACCCTCCGTCGGAAGCATCTATGGGGGCTACAGACCCTCCTTCGGCCCCCCCCCCATCGGAGGAAATTTTAGGTTATTGTCGGAGCACATTTGACAAAGAAACGTACGAAAACTGCTTATTTTAGTCATTTTAGCCCCCCTGTCGGAAGCTCAAGCCCCTCTGTCGGAAGATTTCTGGTGCCACCTCTGCTCTGAAGGGGGCTTATCCTTCTCACGTTGTCGAGAGGTCTCGGTGGCCCTGCAACCTGACATGTGTTTTAGATATGAAGGCCTTAAAGAAGTCATGAATTGTGTCATACTTAATTCCTTCTATCTAAAACATCTATCATCTTGTCAAACTTTCATACTCAACAATCAGCTTTGCTTTTACTGGCTACGTGCTTCATCTGTTATAGTAATGATGTTCTTTAATGTTTTATCTAGACCGTATCCGCCCTTTGGTTTTATCTGCGCACGTGCGTTTGTTTTAGTTCTTAAAACAGAAAAAAGGAGATATTAGATCAGATTTACTTGACGCTGTTGGGAATTTCTATTGTCTGGAGGTGATAAGATCAAGGCTTTGACAGTATCAAAAAAGTTTTGGACGACAGTCTTTGCCCGTTGCTTGGAGAAGTGTTCGTCATTGGAACATTTGTTTCACTTAACTATGATCGATAACGGATAGAAGTTTTCAAACAACTTGAAGACCAATGATTGATACTTGCAGTACATTGTTTTGGACAGCAAAACATTCGTATGCAGATACCAAAAACAAATAAAATATGAAACTGCCTAAAAAACTGATGATGACACGAGAAATTTTTTCTTCAAGAATCATCTAAGCTTGATAGAATTTTTGAAAAATGATAAAGAATTTGCCTGGTCGATAAATATTTCACTAAGGTTTTTAAGTATTTTGGTGTCCGCGCATGTCCGCGCATGTCCGCGCATAGGATGGCGCATAGGATCATGTATATTGTATCAACCAATGTAAATTACACTCTTTAGCCTCAATTTTTATATTAATCATATTTATGTAATCTTTTTGTTGTTAATCGCCTATGAGCCCTGGAGAAATACGGCGCGATGAAAGTGCCTTTGGTATTGTTATTTTATCATCCCTGATACATTGGACAGAAGCAAATATTTGGTTTATTTGAATTATCAGATTATCAGGATGTTTCAATATTTAGATATTCAGACTATCAGACAAATATTTTCATTGCATACCAATACATTTTTCAAATTTTGTAGGTTATACGTAACATTTTTAACGATAGCAAACCAAGAAAAATTACGAAAAAACAATAACGAATGAATATTGATTGGAACGGCTCATTGCTTTCTTCATTGCTGACATTTAGACTAAAATACGGCTGTCTTTCTTTGCTCGAACTGTAGATATTCATTCCATAAGTAATTGATGAAAAAGATTTTGAAACCAAGGCTGGACGTAGGGTCAATGAGATTTGGCCAAAATATGTGAAAAAGCAGTAAACAAAAGTCCAATCCTATTTACCGTTGATTAAACAAACTGTCATTAGCGAATGCTTTAGTGTATTAATCGAAGCTATAAACCTATCGCCAATGTACTTTGCCTAAGGGTGATTCGTTTGGAATTCATTCAAGGCTTGGTGTACTTTTGTGAATGGATAACCACATCTTAAAATTACAAACAAGTTTAGGAATTTTCCAGTATTGTGTATGTCTACCAGTAGGCTGTCGGGTACATTATGAGTTTTATTGCAAATACTTTCAGTAGTGAAGCACACATAGAAAAAAGCTCACTAATTGGTTCCCAAAACACTATTAAGAATATTTTACTTTGCAAGTTTTCATCACTTTCCTGAGATAAAATAAAAGTATCCATTGAACTTGTTCATGAAAAATTTGTAGATATATTGTTTTTAAAACATTTTGCAATGGGTCTAGCAAAAGATTTTACAAATGAACCGATTCTCTATTCGCCCCGGGTGCACGAGACGAGAGTACATCCGTTCCGGCACGAACCCGAAAGATTATGGATAAGTCTTGCGTTATTTGGATCCAGGGATGTAAAATGACGGGTGTTTTTGGGAGGATAAAGGGTACACAATTCTTGACTGGCAATAAACCAATCATAGTTCTGTATTAAGCCTTTACTTAAAGAACCTTAACACTGGATGGTTCGGTCGTTTTTTCAGAATTGAGAGATTTCTCGGCATCGGCGTTATGTAATATCATTTTCTGATGCAAATTAGCATTGGAATTACGACTAAGATTTTCCAACTTCTCGCAAACTCTCCGGCTAATTTAATGAGTTTCAAAGATTGGGGTGTGACACCCCATTCCCACACCCCTTTGGTTTTCACGTGACTGTATGGATCCACGGGAAATGGTGGATCCATATAATTTTTGAACGACCGGGTATTATAAGCAGGGTCATAAGGAGTATACCCAGACCCCCAGTAACGCCACCTCAAAAAAATTCACGTCTCCAAGCAACAGAACAATTGCTTATTCCAAAAGTCCTTCCTACACAACGAACAAAAAAGGGAAAAGAGCTTGGTTTTAGTAGCGGTATAGCCAGGGATATTGGGATCGCAAATCAGCCCAACATTATTCAGGATCCTTTATTCCATACTTTCTATTTTTTGAGCCAATTTTAGTCATACTCTATACTAGTGATAGAGTCAAGTTTCTTCCGTTTGTGCAAATTTATGTCGAAGCGCTTTTCAGACTAACTTAGGAAAGTCTGCAACCTTTTATGAAGGGTAAATGTTTTTGCTACGCAAAACATTAAGTCTTTTTTCCAGAAAAAAATTCTGTTTAAAGGTTTTGGGCGATTATTCAATTATATGCTTTTACAAATTACACCAAATTTTTCTCAAGTTACAAGACATAAACCTTTCAGTACCTAAAATATTGCTTAGAGGAGTTTCTCAATTTGAGAAACGGCTACTCACGTTTAATGTTAGTTTTTTCTAACATCGTCGGGCTTAGTCGAAAAATGTAACGGTATCATTGTATTTTAACCGCAAATAAGTTGGCTTGAAGTTGTCTGCACATACCGCCCGCCCGCATGATAAGGAGTAATGCAATTTATCAGGTATGTGAGCATTTCTGTTAAAACTTGGAAAGAATAGAAAAAATCTCGATTATGCAATGACCTAGGCAAGATAGGTTATCCAGTGACGTCAATTTCAACCTTTCTCTTGCATTGGTTTGTGGCAATGGGCGTATAAGGCCATTGTAACTCAACTCTTAAATTCAATGAAAAGGCTTTGATCGCTATTTGAAGAGAAAAAAGGCACTCACAAGACGAATGTGGCATCGATTTCCAGTACTCTGTACTCAAATTTACTTTCACATCCAGTAACAATTACTTTATGATATGCAGCTAACGAAGTTTTAAGCCAATACATTAAGGACATAACAGATGAATGAATGCTAACAAATGTTTAACATCAGTTTGGAAATGTCCAGTGTACTTTAGACTGGGTAGGATAAAAAAAGAGCTATCTAACTAATTGACGAGGTTAGAGGTGCAGCCAGATAAGTTTCTGCATTCTTAGTCAATTAAACCTAGCGCCTTTAAACTCGAATTTCCTACCTCACATCGACACACAGACTTAAGTTAATCTTGGGAGGGTTCTTGGATTCACCTTTGAAGAGGTTAAGCAAAGTAAGATGGTGGTTCTATGCACAAATGCATGGCGCCTGTTGGCATTATCTACGATGTTCCACCACATTTTATGTTAGTTATAGCCATGCATGCTTACTCTATGTTCCACTGAATTAAGCAAATGTATTGTGTAAATGCGTTTGTTTACCTAAGCTGAAAACCCACAGCTGCTCGTCGTTCAAGGACTTGGGAGCAGCTCTATGTTGCTGATGTCGTCTCTAATTATCACTACGATGTTGTCCTGAGGACCTAGTGATGTCCAAGACCAATTTGCCAGGTAAGTGAGCCAGTCATTCATTTTTGGTGACAATTTGAAAATTTGCCGATGACGCACCTCTAAATTGCATAAAGCTTCCTCGTTTATTAAACGACTTTTTGCCAATGGGGTGGGGGTGTCAAACGTTCCCTATGGATGTAGCCCCAATGAAAGCGCATTACAAAAATTAAAACCCTATATGTCCCATGCTGTCATAACATGTCGCAAAGACAAAATCATTATATACGTAATTTTGCAAAAGCCATTTACTTTTAAGGGCAGGAATACCAAGCCCGTGAGAAAATGATAAAATGATTTTCGTGGAATTCGAATAGAAACAATGCATAATTTTTTGTAAAGACTTTTCAAAACTGACTTGCAAAACACATGGGACAAATGGTGAATTTCTATTTCGCGCAGATTTTAAGGCGGCCAATTCGCGCATTTCATTTGATCATTTCACTATATTCGCAACGTGTAAATCTTTTCCGCCCTTTAAAGTGTTGTATTTCATTCTGATTTAAGCGCTAAAAGAAACTTTTTCTCCAAAAAGGTGCATGAACCATCAATTAGAGAGATCGAATTCATTTGAATCCAAACTTTTTACACCCCTCATAGAATGACAGGACAGATAAAAAGTAAGTTGATATTTTTGGTTACTCACGTGGCATTGTAAAGCTTTGGGCAAATGAAGCTAAACTAAAGTAGGAACAAGTTTACTCCAAGTACATTATATGGAATTAAAACCTCCGCCATTAAGCAATAAATAGCCTCTAAAAACCAAAATCTGCGGTCACTGTTAAAATTTATCACCCTGGCTAAACTCTGCCATGAGAAGTGATGGTGAGGCTAGCATTCTTGAAATAATTTGGCAAAACCAAAGCTTCAACAAAAATTCCAAGGAAAACGAATTGAAAAAAATGCAAAAATAATTAAATAACCCAACTCTTCATGCACTGGAAAAGCGTCCCATTGCAATGACAACCTTTGGCAAAAATTGCGAGAATTGTCAAGATTTGCAGAACTTCATTAAATCTTTAATTTCCAAATGCATAGTAGAAATTACAAAAAATTCCAGGTAAATTTCAGAATTTGTTAACTATTCTTTCATCAAGCAAAGACTTCCTTTTTAGCAATAGAAAAAGTCTGGAGCTGATATCGAAACAGATTTGTGCAAACTCTAGCGTAGACCTATGCAAACAAAAAAAGCTGGAAAATTGTTCGTTAAATCTCTTTGAAAAGCGAAGTAGGATTAATTTTTCACTTTGAAAGAGGCTTACCTGGTTATCCTTGCCAACAATCACGTTAATAAGAAGAACTAGCAAGAACACAGTCGACTTTATTCTGATCTCCATCACTCTGCTTGTTCTGGATCAACTCTGTGAAAAATGAAAGACAAGCTCGTGAGGCTTACTGCAAGCTTTTGATTCGGAAACCTTGAACCCTCTTATTTAAACCATTGATTGGAATTCGACTCAACCAAAAGCTGTATGGCCACAGGGTGACTATAACATGAATCACCTGTTGATTACGTAATACTAATACGTTTGATTGGTTGATGATTTAAGCAGTGTCACAACCACTTGCGGTATAGCTTCACTAAATGTATTGCGGGGTCTTTAGCGGTATGTGAAAATGGTTATTCATAATAGAATGCTTGCTATTTTAGCCACTTCATTCAAGAGATCTTTGAGAATCAAAACACTCAGACTTATATGGTTGCTGGAATCAAATATCAAGAGGTATGGAGTGGGCAGACGATGAAAAGATCTTTACAGAAGATTTGAATTTGGGCCAAGTAACCTGAAAGAGCACCCTAAAGCCTTGACCAAACAGGGCAACATTGTCAGGCAACATTCACAAATTCATAATGTTGCTCAAATGTTGTCCAGTTTGGCCACCGTGTCGGCCGACAAATTCATCAAGAAATTTGTTACTCGAATGTTTGAGCATGCTCAAACATTTTTCGGCAACATTTGTTGCTCAGCTTTATGTTGTCCAGTTTGGCCACATTGTCGGGCAACAATTCACCTTAATTTCCAACCTGAGAAAAACCAACTCGCGCAGTGATGTATTGCAAAACAGTATGCTCTACTCGATTCAAATAAAATGGCCTGTCAAGATTAAAGCTTTCAAGTTGACTGTACCGAATGGGAAGAAAACCATGGAGTGGAAGAATAGTTTAGGAAGAATAAAAAGTCTCGTCTGGAACAAGTCCAAATGCAAGCTCTTTGAAAAAACAAATCAGCCAAATGCTACCAGCGTGCTTGACCATAGAGTGCTAAGCAACAAAGGTGTTGTGATGTCAAAATCAGCTTCCAGTAGCTGCAGCTTGCTTTCTATCTGCCATACTTATCCAAATTTTTGCTCAAATCAAATATGGCGCGGAAAACCACATATCAGATCATATTTGGCACGCTGTTTTGACAACATCATCAAAAGATGCTGCACGACAATGTTGCCCAGTTTGTCCACCATGTTTCGGCGACAAAAAAATTAACAAAATTTCGAGCAACATTGTCGGGCAACAATGTTGCCCAGTTTGGCCAAGACTTTAAATACTTGAAATTGGACAAAACCATTTAAAGCAATTTCCAATTGGCTGAGAAACAGCCAATAAATGACCTAGATTTCATACTCGCTGGCATTTGCCTTTAAGCTATCCTGCAGCTAGAATAATGCAAAGATTTTCCTTTGTAAAAGGCCCTGCAATTAACATTATCGATCATAACTTTTTGTCGTTATGCCAATTGCAAGATTTTTAATGCCAAAAGAAAATCTTTGCACGAAGCAGACGGCAATATGACATTAGGAATTTCAAGCGAATTTCAAGAAGATAGTGCTAGTGTTAACAACCCTTGAGTAAAATTCTTGACTCTCATTGGCTAATTCTCAGCCAATTGGAAGCAGCTTCAACTGGTTGTCCATAGTTCAAGCACATCATATCACTTATCTACAGATATCAAATATAAGTAAAGAAGTATTTATGAACATATTATTGTCATCGGGGTCATATCTTTCACTTGAAGCTAGGCAAACCCCCAGGCAACTTAACATGGATTTAACAGATCAATGGTTGTCAAGAAACACAAACCGACAAAATACAAGCTTTTTTAGATCTGGTGTGGGATTGTTGGATAAAGATCAAATGTGGCTTTTCCAATTCCTATTTTAAGTCAGTAATACCATCCCTTCATTTATTTTACGAACGTGACAATTGACAGCACTTTGAATTAAGGCCTAAAGTTCCACCCTCGTTTGCCCAGTAGCGGCCATTTATCACTAATGAGTTCAAACGTAGCGACAAAATCTTTCCTTATTATCTCAATATTTCCTTCAACGAGTGATAAATTCCTTGAGGCAACCATTTCTTTTCCTATAGCAGTTATTCAAAACTCTGTGTAATAAGCCCGGTGAAGACCGTTCCAGACGTGGAATCTCCAGAATGGGGAGTCTCCTTTCAAAAAGTGGAATGATCCTGTTTTTTCCATTTCTACCCCCCCCCCCCCCGGGCTGAGATAATTTTGTCTCTAGTCAATGTGAAGTTCCCTTTTGTACAAAACCCCTTCCCCTGCTAGTCAAAAACAAATTTTAGAGTACCGGTTTTATGTCCAACCTGCTATCACCTGTGAAAATAAAAACTGAAAGGACTAGACAAAATTATCTCAGCTTGTAGGGGATGTGTTTGCTAGTACCGCAGCCAAGTACTTGCAGTAATGATATTATAATTGTATGGGGCTCCAGAAGTATTTTTGTCCTTAAGAGATAGTTGAAGATCATGAGATGGTTTTGCAAGCTCTATAGGAAGAAAGATTGAGCTACTTGAATTTCATTGTTCGTCACTACAGAGAGGAAGCTAGATTTATTAAAAGCAAAGCTCCTATTTTATGGAGAAAGCACACTTTAATTCAATATATCAAAATTTTGCTTATTAGAAACAATATCAGAAGTTTCTTGAGCAAGATTTTGAAAATCTTTTAGACAGTTTGAATGGCTTTGGAAAACTGCCTGAAAACAAGGCTGGTTTTTTGAGGTATCAACCTCTCTATACAACTGTAACTTCACTCTAGTGTGCCAAAGTAAAAAAGAGGATTATACATTGATAAGAGAACCAATGTCTTTAAAGTAGCATTAAATCTAGCTCTAACTCAATCCAACCCAGCCAAGCCTTCGGCTATGTCACGTTGAGACTGCCTATATAAGGTACTGTACAAAAATCTTTCCTCCGACCTTCTTTGAACAAACTGTACAAGACAGAGAATTAAAATTACATCCAAGGGATTGAACAGGAGAAGAATAAAGTCTCTTGTCCTATCCCTAACCCTGACTCAAACCAAAGTGAAGGTACTGTCAGGCAATCCTTCCTTCAACCTTTTTGGCACAGACTGTGTAAAACAACGAATTAAAATTGCATCCAAGGGATTGAACAGGAGAGAAATAAATCCTCTTGCCATACCCGTTAGGCGCCATTCCTAGGGGCACAGATAAATGTTTTCTGCCAAAATCAACTTCAAGTATGCATAACTGATGAATCATTAAGTATTTTCTTTTCATAATCCCAACAATTTCTAAAATAAGAACCCATAGAGAGATGATCTTATAAGCTTTGGAATTATAACGAAAAAAGTATGAGATGATTTTTTCTTTCATCAGATGCCTAAAAATTTTCTGTTAAGTCTTTAAGTAAAGCAGAAGAATTATGTCAAAAATTTGCTTGAACAAATACCTTTGAATTTCTGGCATTAAACATGCCGGCAAATTTAATGCAAGATTATGATAAATTGAAAGAGCCAACAAGTGGTTAGAGAGCTTTTTATGTCACAAAAGCATGTTTTATGTCTAACAAGATAAAACAAAACTTGTAAGTGAAATTGAGATATTTGAAAACGAGTAAACAAAAAGAGACATTTCGGAACGCACAGCAGTAAATTTTGCATTGATAAATTCAGATTTATGTAGCAACAAAGCAAAAGAAATGTGTTAATACGCGAAATCTGTCAGCCCATAGTTTTCATAAGTGTTGATGTTAAACAACGTGATTTGTCAGTCGTAAGAAAGAATTGGCGTCTCATATTTTGCGATTCAAAAATCTTTGCGATTGTCGACGTGGTGCTTGACCAATCTTGCACTTATGGTAATACTATGAAACTTATAAAATTTCAAAAATATCAATTTGTTATGAAAACCCTTTTTGGTGTTCGGCTGTTCTACAGGAATAGATCGTCTGTCAGTAAACGATCATCGATCAATTACTGTCCACTTGCTATGGTGCAAATTTCACAGTAGAGAATCTTCTCTTTGCGTTTTGACCCCATTAATTTTCATAAATTCTCTGCTTCCTTTCGGGAAACACAATAGATTTGTCACATAAAGGTCAGATTACTGTTGAAAGAAACTGGATGATTTATGCTAGGAAAGAACAGGATTAAAAAACTGGTTTTAGTAAGCATTTTGCTTGAAAAATGAACGCTTAAAGTTGTTATAAACTTTGCTTATATGCCAATGAGGTAGTTAAGTAAATCGGTCGCTTATATGAATCCTAGGCCAAATATTTGCTAGATGTAATCAAACAAGAACTTTCTTTAGAATTGAATAATTAGTTGCCAGTTTATATGTTTTACTGCATAAAATTTTGTGTTCCGTTTATTTTCGCCAAATTCACCAAAATCGATGGTTTGGATGATCTATTTCTCATAACTTTTCAATAACGATTGGAATAAGACATGGTTAGTTTTGTGGTTATTAAAAGAGACAAATAAATTGAGAGTTTTATGTAGAAAAAGATCAGACTAATAAAGATTGATAACTGAAAAAATAGACATTTTAATCTTCTAACGTTTTAAGATTATACAGAAAAATAAAGCCATTAAAAGATTATTTGTAAGGCAGAGCAAATGAAATGAATGAATTGAAACAAAACCAGGAAGAAATTGGAAAGTATTAAATTTTCCTTTTATTCTAAAAAGAGGATTTGGTAGATTTTATGAAAACTGTCGGAAATAGTAGCAAAAAGAGAGGTGAAATTTTTTCACACGCTGTACAAAGTTTCTATTTCAAAAACACCAAAAGCATGAATTGTTCAATTTTTATAGCTTTTTCGAAGTTTTACAGATAAAGCAAAAAACAGTCTTTACTTTAGAATAACACTTATGGCTTTTACTGTTATTAAAAAATTGTAAATATCCTAATTGTAAAGATCTTATCTTTGTAATCACTTCAGAACTTTTTTGGGGTTTCTTAAAAATTTCTAAACCGATTTACAGTTGCGGCTCTAGCTTTCGAAGTTTTGGCCCATGTTGGCTGACCAAGCATGTAATCGAGAAGACATACTTGTTATTGTGAAGATACTTCTGTCGTATGTAGAAGTGTAGCTCGTTTT